GTATGAATGATTTGAGGTAAAAGATGTTCAAATAATTGTAGTCAAATGAGAATTGTGGTACATTGATAGTAAGATATACAAAGATTTTTTATTTAAAGTCTATAATCTAATATGAACTATGACTGTGGAAGAAATGCACGAAAGTTATCTGTAACCAATCCACACGCTTTCTACAAGATGTAATGAAGGATGATTCTTTTTTGTGTTTTTGTTTAATTAAAATTCAAAAAAATTCAAAAAAAAGAATATGAGATTTCTTATGCTATCTTCATTGAAAATATGGGAACTGTATGGTGAGCATATGCTTGATGTATTTATTTTTTTTATGAATTTCTGGGGGATGTTTGAGTTCCTTTCCCCCCCTCTACCTTAGGAATGCTTTGAGTGTGAAACTCCCTACAGATATATTTGATGAAAAGATTATATGATATAAATCTCTTCCAGATTCTATCATATGTTATAGAGAAGGTTGCAATCTCTATTTTGTTTTTGAGGGGCATGGGGGTAATAACTGTTACACCACAGGTGCATTACATTTATAACCACATTTGGACTTTTGAATGGCATATCATGGAACACATAATAAATATAGTATGTGAATAATATACATAATATGTGAATGGGATTTGGAAAACTAAATCTGATTTAATTATAATTGCATAAAATTTAAAATTAACTAATTTGATGAAGTTACAAGATCCCCATTGAATCATCTCCTGATTAAAGCCACAAAGCAAGGGTGAAAGCTACCAGTTTAGACCTGAACCGGTAGTAAAAAAAATACTTAACAAAGTAAAAAAAAGTTCAGACAATCAGCTGTGCTGCACAATGGTTGGAACTTTTTTTTTTACATTTTTGGTCCGTTTTTGTTCCCAGGAGGCTTCCCTGAGGCCTGCTGGGCCAAAAACCGGAGGTGGGGTGCTACGAAAGAAAGAAAGAAAGAGAGAGAGAGGGAGAGGGAGAGAGAAAGGGAGAGAAGGAGGGGAAAAAGAGAGGGAGGAAGGACCACAAACCTGGCACTAGACACAGCTTCAGAGGATACTGTGAAAGAGCATAGCAATCCAGGGCTGGAAGGGACATGGAGGTCATCTAGTCCAACCCCCTGCTCCAGCAGGACATTGTTAAAGTGAGTTTCTGTCTTTTGACTACCACCCCCCCCAGCCACATGACTACATAGCCATGACCACCCAGTCACATGACCCCCATCAAGCCATGCTCACAGAACCGGTAGGGGAAAAAAATTAGAATTTACCACTGCTCCAAAGGTCTATCAAAGTAATGACCAGCATTTTAATTTGGACCCAGAAGCTGACTTGCTGCAATTTAAGTGCCATTCTGCTGTAGCAGCATCAGCTGCATTCTGCATTCGTAGTATAGTAGCTTCTAATTGGTCTTTGTTAGCCCAAACACGAGCTAATAAGAGCAAAAGTCAGTAGCTCCTGATCCAAGAACAGAATCGATTGAGATACTCGGCCAAGGCCTCTATCTGCTAATCTATCAGGAAGAATCATAAATCCAAGACTACCTCCAAGTTGTACAACCAACTTTTTAGGGGTAGGATGGTGGGGTCTTGTCCAAAGGTTGGAATTATTCTGGAACCAAAGAGTTCCTAACTGAATAACAATTGTATCTTGCTGTGATTCATCCTAGTTACTTATAACTTCATTTGTCTTTCTTCTGGTGCCTTATGGCTTGCTTATGAGTTCCTCATAAACCTAAAGTGGTTCCTTGAGGGAGTAGATAAAGTAAAGGTAAAATATGTGCTAGTCCTTCCCAACTCTAGGGAATGGTGCTCATCTCCGTTTCAAAACCGAAGAGCCAGTGCTGTCCGAAGACATATCCATGGCCATGTGGCTGGCATGGATAAATGTCAAAGGCGCACAGAATGCTGTTACCGTCCCACCAAAGGTGGTTCCTATTTTTCTACTTGCATTTTTATGTGCTTTGAACTGCTAGGTTGGCAGAAGCTGGGACAAGTAATGGGAGTTCACTCCATTACGCGGCACTAGGGATTTGAACCGCCAATCTTTCTGATCAACTAGTCTGAGGGAGTGGGTACTTTAGTATATTCAGCATCAAAATGAATGTTCAAATCAACATCAAGATTAGCAATGTTATCTCCAAAGTACCTTACACCAGGGGCGCGCAGTCAGGGGAGGCAGGAGAGGCAGAGCCTCACCACTGTCAACATGAAAAGAAAAAAAATGTAAAAGGAAAAANCTTAGCATCAGAGCATGTTAATAATAATATAAGAAATACTAATGATCTGATGGTCATTTCAAAAAATCCTTTCTTAGTGAGCACCTAGAAGCCAAAAGGAACAGTTGTGCCAAATTTCAAGTTTGTAGTTTTTACGGTTCTGGAGATTTCATGATGCTGTGTGAGTGATATTTCATTTTTATATATAGATGAGCAAAAAAAGAACCCCCATTGCAGATAAAACTTTAAGTAACAGCTGTAATAATGACTTGTAGTGTCCTACAAGGCCTGTCTATGTAACTTTCATATTTGCTGCTGTCTTACAACATCATATTCCATCGTATCATTTGGGGGTCATCTCATTCTGGGTATTGCAGACTTTTTCCAGAGAGTATTCAGGCAGAGGAACGAGGTCATATATAAAACCAAAAGAAAGTCAAGGAATCTGAATTCTATTTTTAGTTTTTTTTTTCCAACAAGAATTAAGGGCAAAATGTCTTCCTCAAAAATTTTTGTGACCTTGAGTGCTCCATTCAAAAGCAAAATAGAGTCTGATCCATAAAACAGATGAGTCAAAGAAGAAGGATCCAGATGAGTATGCCATCTCAGTTTTTGATTAACTATTCAGGCTTAAAGCATTTTTACATAGGCTTTACAGAGCTTAAAGTAATGACATGCATTTCAGAAGATCAGATTAACACTGAAATATTCTTTTAATATAAGCCATTGAAGGTAAATTTGATCTAGTTTAAACTGAATCTATTCAAATTTTCCTTAGCTGTATAACCTGACTCTCCAAAAATACGATTTGTTAAAATATAGTTACAAACACAGCATAAGGATATAGATATGTATATTATAACATCCCGTAGTAGTACATTTCTTTTAGGTTCAAATCAAAGTAACCAGAATAAGAATCTGAACAGTATGAAGCATCATTCCCATGTTTTT